CGCCTGAGACACTAAACAAGTATTTGTTGAACTAATTAATGAAATACCTGTCACCAGGCACCAAACTGCAATCTGTACTACTCTCAAAGGCTTTCCAGAGCATGCTTCTCCCATAGATACTTTTTTTTTTTTTTACAAGTTTGGTTGCCTGGCTCTGCAAATTAGCCTCTAATTAGCCTCTGCAAATGAGCAGTGCATGACTGGAAGTGGGGAAAGGTTTTCAGTGAGACATTCTTCATAATGTGAGGCTGGAAAATTCAAAGCTGCATTACCATGGTAACCCTATTTTCATAATGATTCACTACGAAAAAGTTAAACGATATTTTCTACTGTTTGTTTAAGGTAGTAGAGAATTGTACAACAAAAGTAAGGTGCTTAGAAAGGGGCAAGCATTGCTTATCTGTAAAAATCACTTGTGTAGATCTGTAGCATTATACAATGCTCTCCATTGGCGAGAAGAGATTGAGCAATTAGCCAGTATGTTTATGTGCATATTTTTGCCAGGATAATGTGCATTTCTGTCATTCCACTTTAAAGAGTTGCAGTCACCTTAAGAAAATAATCTTATATGGATGGTTTCAGTGATCTTCCAAGAAACCTATCACATAATTCAGTAAGAAATTTAAGGAAAGGAAAGAGACAAAAACAAAACACATGAAAAATAAATATCCCCATAAAGCCCAGATCTTCTATAATGGCTGCTTTAAGGTATGGTGGGAATTATTTCCAATTCAACTATTTCTAGTCCTCTCACCTGTTAAAGTAGGAAGTCTTTAGGAAAAAGCTTTTAAATTAAAATTTTGTAAAACAGACTGTTTTTTGAATACTGTGCAAGTAGTTTCATAAGAAAGAAAATTACAGTATTGTTTATAAACAATTTACAGTGCTGAGTTGCTATTTTTTTATTGTTTAAGTTGCATTAGATTTCACAAAAGCTATTTGGAAAAAAAATTGCAATAGGAAGGCCTGTCCATTGTATTTTTCAGAAGAAAGCTGGTTTTCACAATATTATTCACATTTTGTAAACAGCATCAATGAACCTGCACATAAAAGGTTAAATGTTTGCAGACCATTCTTTTTTGCCTCAAAGATCAGAGACAAATTACTATTTTTATTTTACATTCCCTTGATGAGGATAATGATAAACAGCTGTCACTTCAGTGCTTGGACTGCAAAGAATCCTATTGCAATCCTATAATTTAAACAAAGAAAAAAGCCATAGTCATACTCAGTATACATACAGAAAAGAGCACAACAGAGAATTTGATTAGAACTGGGTCAGGGAAGAAGGAGTATTTGCTGTCTGAAATTACTCAGCTAGAGGAGAAAGGCCATGTATGTACATTTTCCCCATTTATCTTAGACGTATTAGAGAGGGTAAGTGTTTCTTCTTTCTTTCTAAACTCAGGAAAGAAATTCAATTTGCGTTGTGAATTTCGTGACTCCCATCATGTCCGTGGTATTATCAGAGAAGTTCAGGTTTGCATGTGACCGCATGTTTTTCCAAAAGCAAAAGAGAATTTCAAATTGTTTTGTGGGTTTTCTGGAATACTTCTCTCTCTCTCTCTTTTTTTTTCCGTGTTGAGAATTAAACCATTCAGTGTTCTCCATTCACTCCGACACTTTCCCTTATTAAGTGCATCTGGTTTGAAAAAGTGAAAGTGAACGTCTTGCGCATATTTTGATGTGCAAAGAGTAAAGTAAAGCTAAATGTTAAAAAAAAAGTGTGAAATGGGAAAATTCAGTGTTTCTATATCAAAGTATGGATGATGATATAACTTTCTTAGTGTTTCATATTTCTGCAGGTTCTTCTAAAAATACTACTTATTCTACTTTCCTCTTTTGTTTCAATAATTTGGTTTTTTATAAATATCACTACTTCACTGACACCTTTTTTCCTAGAAACCCTTTTTTACATTTATAATTTTATCTATGAAACTAAGTTGATGTACTATGGATGTTTCACTGTTTCATAATACTTCTTGATTTTTTTTATACTTAAGGAAAAAAAAGAAATTTGTTAAAATTGAATGCCTCTGACATTTATTGAACAAATTTCAGCTCTCAGAGACTCAGCATGCTCTTCTATAGGTTGACAATAACAATGGCCCCTCCCTCCTAAGGTAGCAGTGTGGGTCTTCTATATAAAGTGCTTAGCATAGTACCTAGAACACAGCAAGTGCTCAATAAATGTTCTTGGGAGAGGTGGAATATTGAGGCTAGAATGTCATCACCTCTGACTGTTAAATACCATAACAAAATCCCAGTATATTTCAGATCAGAAGAGAGACAAACTGAATTGTATTTTATCCATTATAGAGGTTTGTATTGTTTTATATAAAAGGTATTTTCCTCACAAGGCTGTTGGTCATCTGTTCTCATATATATATATATATATATATATATATATCTCATATATATTTATATATAATTATATATATTTATATAATATATAATTATAGTATATATTATATATACAACATATATTATATATTATATTATAATTATATTTTTTTCATAATCATTTTATCATTCCCACTGTTATCAAGTCATAATGGATCCCAGCTCATCACCCTGGGGTTTCTCTGGTCTCCAATTCCTCTGACACATGGGCAGGCACACTTAGATACCCTGAAATGCACCAGAGCAGCCTCCTTGGTTTTGGTGAACCCTTTTGCAGTTGTTAACTCCTCATCCCATGCATCAGGCTCTGTGCCGGGTGCTGAGAAGAGAAAGATGAATAAGACCCCAGAGCCCAGTAGGGGGAGGAGCATAAAACTAGGCTGGATATTAAATAGTAAAAGTGAATACAAGACACAGAGGAAGCACAGAGCAGGGGAGTGTTGGGGGTCTGGGGGCCATCAGGAGCTTGTCCGGAAGAGGTGATGATGGAGCAAGGCTCTGAAAGATGAAAGTTCTTCACAGGTGGGAGGGAGGGTTCCAGGCAAAGGGGACTAGCTTGCAGAACACATGGAGGTGTAAAAAAAAAATACATTTTCCATTTTTATATTGCTTGAATTGAAAATGTTTTATGCTCAAATTTTTCACCTTGAATTTTCATAATGTATGTTGAGAGTCCAGCAGCTCTCTAACTCTATTCCATGAATATTGAGAAAAGAAAGAAAGAAGCTGACATTCGTTGAGGCCCTTGGCTAGGTCATCTCATATGTGTTATCTCATTTAGCTTCCACAAGTTTTCCAGGGATGTGGGTCCCCATTTTAAAGACAGGGAAGAAGCCAGGTTTTAATTACATCAAGTAACTGAAGTGTGACCACACAACCTGTACACAACAGAGCTTGAATTTGAACCTACAGTTTTCACTTTCACATACAATATCCTTAACATGACATTGCAGTTACCACTGACTCTGACAGTTTGAGCTCAGCATGGAGCACATTTGCAGTGGTTTTTATACCCTAGAAAGAAGTTTGGGAACATGACTGTTTTTTCACTGCCATGGCTAACCTTCCCTCTATCAGCCCTCTATCACTTTATGGCCTTTTTTTGCCTATTTATCCCAGATCCTATTGTGCTTATATATCGCAAATTAATAATAAAAATAACTACATAAGACTTGATTTAGTTCTTTCTTTCATTGATCAAAAACCATTTAAAACAACTGTCCATTTTGAAACTTCCTCTTCCTTGTTGTAGTAGAGTCAGATGCCTCAGAAATGTCCTCAAACTATCACCCAGAAGCATGGGGTCATACTCTCAGGACTGGAAAAATGACTGTTGTGTTTTAGACTGAGTACATTATTTTAATAATTTTTAAAAGTACTGGATATTTCTGAGCCAGAGAAGCCTATATAAATGATTAGAACCAATTTCTATCTTTGTTATTGTTGACTTTGTGGTATACAAATATGCCTTTCACACATGCTTATTGATTCAAAAGTAAAGTTTGTCATTTATACATCCATTTAAGCCATTTAGCACAGTGCTTTGCCTAGAACTGATTGGATGATTGAAAACCTGGCAGATCAAAGTATGTACATTTCCAAAGAAAAGTACTTCGTGTCTACAATGGAAGCAATAAATTATCCCCCCCCTTTTTTTTGCATTTGTAATTAAATCTTTCCAAATGTTAGAAAGTACCCAGACCACTAACAGTATTTGTATCATGTTCTGGGGCTTAGATGCTCCAACCTGACTTGAAATGGAGACCATTTGTTCTAAATTGATTTCAATGCCAAGCCAATAGGTCAGCCCTTAATGATGAAGATGCCATTTCAGCCCAGCCTCTGGTGGATAAGCCAAAATTAATTAACTCAAGTCCCATAGTATAGAAAACAGATGCTTCTCTCATGTTGCACAAGTAAATTCTTTGTGTATAGATGTGTTCTGTTTTATTCAAAGAATAACAAGTTGGAAGTTAAAATTGTAAGTTTTCCACAATGGAGCCAGCCTTTAGTAGTGATGACAGAAGCATGAATTTACAGAATAAATTCCAGCAAGTGCATGGAAAAATGAATTATTCTCTATATCTCTTACTTTGGCCCCGGGCCAGGCTTAGGAGATTTACTTTTAAAACCTGGGCCGATCCAAATGCTGATCCATCCCAGAACAGACCTAGGAGTTCCAGAACAACACCAAGGTTATTTCTAATCTATTGAATCCCTAAGAGACCGCTCCCAGAGGTTTACATCCGCATCATTCACTTGGATTCAGTTCTTTGGCCAGCTTGCAAATGGCTTAAGATTAGATTGTTCTCTAGAGGTATGTTGTTAGGTGCACTGTTTATCTGGTTATTCATCTCAGTATTCACTCAGAACTAGAATAGTTGCTTTTCCTAGGCTGTGGCTCGCCGAAAGTAGAATAATAACTTCCTGGTTCTGATCTTTTTTCGGAATTAATGGGTATGTTTAAGATAAAGATGTTACCATCTAGTAATATAACTCCAAATATAGTCATCAGAAGTTGATCATCTGATAATGTATGGTATTTTTTTCTTCTGAACGAATGTGAAACAATCCATGTTTTCTTTCCTTTCTGTTAGACTGAAAATGATGATAATGGCCAGGCAGAAAACTTTTCCATGGACCCACAGTTGGAGAGGCAAGTGGAGACCATTCGCAACCTCGTAGACTCCTACATGTCTATCATCAACAAATGTATCCGAGATCTAATTCCAAAAACAATAATGCACCTTATGATCAACAATGTAAGTGACTATAAACTGTCTCATTTTAACTTCTAACCTATCTTAGTATGGAAACTGCTCATAGTCTCATCAGTTTCTTTATGCTGTTTTCTGGATGGTTGAAATACCTATTACCCAGGTTCATCATTTTCTATTACAATTGGTTAAGTGACTAACCAGAGAAAGAGGATTCAGGAAAGCAAACATGAAACTTCTAGCCACAGTGCTGTGGTATTTCCTACTGCCTATCTCTTGAAAAGTATGCACTTGCTCACAATAAAGCAGAGCAAGAATACTGTAGCTATAGTCGGGGCGTAAGTTAATTGCAAAGGCAACAATAAAACCAGATGCCCCGGCTCCTAGATTTTGAGATTAAAGGCAAAAGATATTTATTTTTTTCTACACACATAGACATAAAATATATTAACATGGTTATTTTTTCACCTTCTAAAAGCTATGGAATGCTATTTTAACCTGGGAAATGGCTTTTTGCCCTATCCCCTTGGATTAAAAGTCAGTCAACTTTTCTAAAGTAATGATGATATTGCCACAGATCTTAAAGTGCCTGCTACACTAGCCCTCAATCGATCTGTATCATGTAGAATCTCTCCTTTTTCATGGTTATTTTTATAGTAGTCAGGATATGATACTTAAATTATGGTCTAGTTTGGTTCTCTGGGTAGCTAGTTTATTAAAGTACAAGTTATATCCCAAGTTATTTGAGAAATTATCTTTTAGATAAGATAGGCTGTAATGGGGTGCCTTATAACAGGCTTTTCTGACTCTTGAAAAGGAGATACCAGCATTTTTAGTTCTAGCAATCTTCTAGGGGCACCTTTTTATTTAAATCAATGATATATTATGAGCATTTGCTTGTAACAAATAAAAATTAGCTGGCAAAGGTACTAAAAAGAACCCCTTGCTAGAACTTAGGAGAAACCTGTATTCTAAGCCTGGCTCTGCCACAAACTCTGTTGACCTAAAGACAAATCAGTTAACTTCTTTGCATCTAGGTCCTCCATATGTAAAACACTAATCATAGAAAAAGTACCCGGCTTAGGGATTTATTCCAGAAGATAATATATATGGAAATACGATGAAAAATATACTTGTAAGAAAGCAGTGTGGCTGGCTGCCTATATAAGAACTATAAAAAGCCTTTATCCATATTTCAGGATTTATTTCAAAATTGTGTTTGTAAATATGACCTTCTGTTGTTGTTCATGGTCTATTCATTCCTTGAATAAAGGTTTCCTTGAAGAAACCCCTTGAAGGAAACCCTTCTTGAAGAAACCCTAAGCACCCATGGTTTTTACCTAACTCCATTCCCAGACACATTTTTGCATATTCAACCAAGGTTAGTAGGATACTTGGAAGTATCAGCAGTAGGTAAGCAATATATTGGAAATTTGCAAACTATGAATTGTATTCTTAAGCTTAGTCAGCAGCCTACTGTGTGACCTGAAGCAAATTATTTGGGCCCTCTGAAGTCAGTCACTTCTAAAATTACGGTAAGAACAAGGAGCTGCCTCACTGTATTGTCAGAGAACATAATAAATGCAACTATATGCCATTTTGAAAAATATAAAGTACTAAACAAATAGTCTGTGTATTTTTAAAATTACCCTCTTAACTTTGCTTAAATGAGTTCAGGTTGTTTTGCCGTGGTGTATCCAGGCACTTGCTTATTTAAACATTTTCCTGATTAAGTATCATTTATCTTTTCACAATTTTATCGTAAGTCATTAGTGCTGCCATCAGTTCAAACACTAGGTTGCTCTGCGCTATATTAAATCATCAGCACAGGAAATAGCACTTCCTGTCTAGAGCTGTAAGGAGTAGCCTGACACTAATTAGTTAAAAGGAGGAAAAAAAAAAAAATGACTCTCTCACAAATCCATCCTACTTTCACCTTCTCAAGAAGCACACACACACATACACAAAGAAACGTGGGAGTAATTGCCCTCACCCCTCACCGGTGTGCTTGTTGGCTTTAATGAAATGGCTAAACCCCCACCTCCAGGGCATAATCCATGGAGGCAGAGCTCTTGGAACTGTCTTGAGAGAGACCTTGCAGAATGATGAGAATGAAGACTTCAATTCTGACCTGATCGGCACGGTCAGACCTTGACATGGAGGTTAATAGGAATGTGGAGAAAACGGAAACATCATGTAATGCCAGATTCTTACGAAATTATGGTTATCTTTCTTTGAAATTTAACTTTTTGTAGCTGTCAGAAAATAGTTTTACGTATCTCAGATGACCACTTTTCCTTGAGTATTATTTTATCTGTGTTTTTACTGTGTATATAAGAATATATAGTTTTTTATATATTTGATCATTATCTATGTAAAAATGTAAAAAAATGGCTCTTTTTAAGTGCCATATTCTCATAGCATCTTTTTGTGCAGAATGTCTGAGCCCTTTTTGTTCATTCTGGAAGTGTTCTATTGAGTACAGGGAAGAGAAACATGGTGGACGCCCAGCCCCGTGTCATGCACATGTGTTGATTTTTTATTCACTTTAAGGTGCAGAGGTCTTCAAGGTAGAGAATTAATCATAGAATCACAGCTAGAAAACAAATACCTTGACTGCTCATTCTAAATTCCATTCACTTAACCCTGCTGTTTCTGGAAATGGCTTTGGGTAGACGCTCCAGAACCGATAAATGCCTGAAACGGGGTCCTCTGCCTGTGGACAGTCACCATGGAAGGTGGTGCTGTGGCCTTTCCTCTTTGAAATGCGAATGGCTGCTCTGCCTTCTGAAAAAGAATATGTTTCAGCCAACTTTTATAAAGTTCAGAATTTGGTGGGCAGTTTCCTTTGAAAGTTTACATTAAGTGTTCTGCCACTCAAGTCTCCATATGGAATTATTTAAGAAGTTTAAAGCCAGCAATAAATGCCTTGCCTCAGACATACTGTAAGCCTTTGTCTATTGAAGGGCAGCAGCTGTTTCATTGCTTAAGCATACTAGGTAACAGCGGCACAAAGAAATAGCACGTTTATGACAGCCGGTCCTTCTGGTCAGGCTACAGTTGAAGCAGCAGACTTTTGTTCAGGACACACATTAACACCCCATGGCAAGCACAGTTTGATGGCCTCTCCTCCGCTGCTCACTCCACCGGAAGATTCGCCATCAGAAAATCAAGAAAGGGGATCCAGCTTGATTGTAAAAGTGTGACTGGCAAAGTGGTCCACAATTCTGTGTTGGGACCCATAGGACAGCCACCCACTGGGTACCCATTATTTTGCCCAGATTATAAATGAAGAAACTGAGCCTCCGAGAGGTTAAGTGACTTTCCCAGGGTCACACAGCTGGGGCTGGCAGGGTCAAGATGAAAATCCAGATCCTCCCATTTGCAGTCTGAGGGTCTGTCCCTTTTAACGTCCGTTAATGCATATGGCGAGGTTAGGAAAACTAAATACAGCTCAACCTTCTCAAACTAGGGGACTCCTATCCCCACAGCACATACCTGGTGTATCTTCCCAGAAGGTTCATTTACTCTAAGATTTCATTAGGGGTTGTTTGAATATGAGAAGCAATGTTTTACATCTTAACTAGAAATTCAAGCAAACCCAGATAATACAAAATAGAACATAAAGTTTTTATGAAACTTTTTAAGAACCAAATATGAAGCCTAGAGGCGTTTCACACTTGGAGTGTGTGCTGCTCCTGGACCCCCGGAGATCCACATCCACTCTCCTTGGCCATTGGCACTTTGCTGGAAAATTAGTAACACGTGCCCTAGTTTCAGAACTCACTGTAACTTTCGTGTGTATGAAGTAGAGTGTTATTTCAAATGTTCATTATTTGAGGTGAAAGTACACCTTAAATACCAGGACACTGAGTTTGTTTCCGCGGGTCAAGAACTCAGCATCCTGCTCAAGAAACAGATCGGGACCACGGTCCAGAAGCCCCCCTCGTGTT